CTTCTTAGTGTGTTTTGCAATATTTTTCTCATTTTGCTTCTCAATAATTTTGGTCGAGGGATCTGCAGGGGAGAGTTCGTTTTTTTTTTTTGTGGTTTAAATCTCATAATTAGTAAAAATTTGGATAATCACTTATGTAAATTAGTATTACAACAAATGTTTCTAATAATTGGATTAAGATACCTGTAATTATAATTATATTAGCATGCTGACAAATTATAAAGCATCTGTGTAACTAGTTACACTGAAGAATGCAAACTAGCATCAAGTAGTACAAATCCAAGATAAGTGCTTATGATTGTATAAATCTATAGAAATTAAAAAAACAAGAAGTCTATTTGGAAAAACTTAAGTAAAAAGGTAATACAGATCTTTGACAGTATTACTATAAAGGCTATATTTAAAAAATAAATACTAATGCTAAAATAGCTAGACAGACAAAAACCTTCAGATTGGAAGTCTCAGAGGTATCATCAACTAGACTGCCAGATCAGACCAAAAAAAAAAGATATTAGACTAACCTAATATATCAATAGACTGTTTGTAGTTCTATAAGGGCTATCTGAATTGGAATTTGGTAAAAGAAGCAGAAATATACTAAAGTACTAAAGATATACTGTGAAGTAAGTACTGAAGTCTGAGTGAACTCTACAAAGGCATAGCAGTTTAATGATTAGTCCTAATTGCAAGTATTAATTCTGCTATAGCAATATCTGAGTTAGTTGCAAAAAATAAATATATAGCAGGCTTCAATAGGTTTATCTTAAGAATAAATGTTCTAAAATGTGACAAAGAATTTAGACTTAACTTGGTAAAGTAACATAAGACAGGTTCAAAAAATTTAAATAAAACATCCAAGCAAAGATACTAAGTACAACAATTGGTAAAGAACATTAAATAAACTTCTTAAATAGGTAATATAAAAAGTTACATAAGTGGCCAATTGTATACTCTTTCTGGAATAGCTCTTTATAGAACTATATTTCTAAAAATATGTTAATAAAAGTTAAAAAACCAAAAAGATCATCTTAATATCAATATATATATATATATAATTTTGATGCTTTTTATATAAAATGTATTAATTGCAAAACATTGCAAAAGATTTATTTTAATAAAAAAAATTTTTTTTTATATATAGCTTTACATGAATTGTAATCAATTGAAAATTAAAAATCAAATCTAAATAAGTTAGTAATTAGAATATATAGTTATATATAGCTAGTATACATGCAAAAGCATCAAACAAATTTGTTAAAAATTTAAATAGATAATAAAAATATCAATACTTTTAATTTATTTTCTACTAGGTTAGATATTCTTTTTGTTAAAAATATTTGCTTAGAATGTTATCAGCTTGATCTAGTTTGAATAAATATCATTATTTAAACTGTCAATTTAACTTTAAGAATATTGTAATATAGAATATAATTATAAAAGTTGCAAACAAATTTGCTGCAAAATAGGTTAAGAGATAAGAACTAATAAATAAATAACACCTAATTGATTAATAATCAATTTTCTTTATATTATTTTATATTTTCTTTTTTTACTAATTATATTATTACTTTATTTTTCTTTTTATTTTATTGAATTATAATGAGTTTTAGAAATACAAAAAAGCATACAAATGAAAAAATAAATATAAATAATTCTAATAAAAGAGATTACAAGAAACAAGTAATTGTTTCATCTTCAGATAATCTTAATGATTTGTTAAATAATACTACTACTTTAGAAAGTACAGGCATTATAAAAGGTCACAAAAAGAAGCAACAAAAAGAAATAGATAAGCCTTTGCTCTTAAATAACTATGATGATAATATATAAGACAAAAAAAAAAGATGTAAAAAGAAGCAAGAAATAGTTGCACCTATATCATCACAAATTACTAAGTTTTTAAAAGATGATATTCCTAATAATGATGTTAACATCATTCTTATCAATGATAATATTTTAAATACTAATAGTAATAGTATTTATAATAATAATAATGTTTTTAATAATATTTTTAATGATAATGCATTAATAACTTAAGACTTACAACTACATCTTTAAGATTGTTATTAATACCAAAAACTGAATCTAATAATCAAAGCACATTAATATATAATTTAAGAAACAATAAACAAATACTAAATTATATTAGTGATTTGAATAAGATAATGTCTCTAAGACTAATATCAATATCTGTTTCAAGAGAAAACAGTCTAATTTATTATAGATTTATACTAGCTTTAGAATCAAGAAATGAATTTAATTTTTCAAATAAAACTTCAAGAATGAAGACAACAACAGTTTCAAATTCAAGAAAAAATAATTAATCTGATTATATTTCTTCAAATAAAACTTTAAAGTCTGGACTACTGTCACCTTTAGGATTAAGAAATAATGCAATAAAACTTTTGATAAATAATGCTCATAACATAACAAATAATTCAAACTATCACTTTAATATAACCAATAAAGTTGTTTCTTTACTTTTTAATAAAATAACAGTCTATCAACTTTGCTTATAGTTATATAAGAACCCTAATATTTTGCAACTAGCAAATAATATGCATTTGTCAATATAAATACAAGTTATAAAAAGATCGCAATTTACATTATCTATTTTTTTCAGATTAACTATGAAGCCAAATTAAGAAAGTAAAACAAAGGCTTGATATAATTTTTTAAAAGAATTATAATGTTTTTTTCTTTATATATAAAATTCTTAAAAAAGTGTATTTGAAAAACTAATACAAAAAGTCTTTAAATGTGAACTTAATTCTGTGGAAGGCATTAAATAGCAACTAGAAATTTTGAAGATTTTCAGAATAAATTATTCAATAGTATTGAAGATTTAGTTAATAATTTTTAAAAAAAAATTATTCTAGTATTATATTTAATATATATTTTGTTCTGCATTTAATAATAGGTTTACAACTGATCTTTTATAAAAAGAAAAAATTATTGTTTTTATAGATAAATCTGCAACTACTAATATGCTAAATTAATGATTAAATGCCACTAATCTAGATAAATTAAAGGCTCAAATTCTATATATTATTTATATAAATTTATTCAGTATATGTTTGCTATTAATTATTTGATAAGGAATACTAAAAGGATAAAAACTTTGAATAAATTAACAAAAAACATTATAGTATTATCATGAAATAGTAAAAATATTACTAGCAATTTACATTTATAAAATATTTATTTTTATTTAATTTATTCATTTATTTTCATATATATTTACTTATTTTACAATAATTTTTTCTAATAATTCATATGTTTTAATAATTTTTTTTTTTGGTATTAAGGTGAGGCCTTGCTCATATCTTTATTAGTAGTTTTTAAAGTTAATAACTTCATGGAGTTACTATGTACAAAAATAATTCTATATAAATGCTATGGCCGAGGCTAATACTTGCAGTTAGGGCTAACCATTAAACTGCTAACTATATATAACTAGCTTAAGTACAAAAAGAAGAAAACTACATTCAAGAGTAAAGCTCAGACATATTTATCTATGATCTAAATCTACTAGAGTGGTCAAGACTTATCTAGATTTGGATTGTTAAAATATGATTAAATAAAATATTGTATTTGATCCAGAGAATAGTCCATATATTGATTTTTCTAATAGCATGACCTAAGAGTAAGCATGTATTAGAGTTTGAGTGTACTTGGTCAGGTAGTCTGCATATATATAAGTATGTATATATTTGACAGTTGTATTTAGTTTGTCTATTATAATTAGTTTGAGTTAGGTATTTGGAAAAAAGATGTTTAAAGCCTTGTTGTTTTTTCCAATTTGCAAAATTTATGCAATATGGTTTTCAAAGTAGTTTGTAGCATAGCTCATTGATTTCAAATAGTATTTTAATAATTGTTTGTAATGCTAATTTGTAAGGAATGTTAAGGTTTTGAATTGTTTGAATTAGCGATTTGAGTATAAGTCCTTTAAGAATGATATCAAGATAAAATAAGTTATCATTGAATAGTATCTGGTGAAAGTTTCATAATTTTGAATTTTTTAAATAAGTTCTTCTTGCTGAAGTTTAGAGAGGTCCAGGTTGCTTTGACTAATATGTTTGAAGATAGTATCTTGAATAATACTAGTAAGTAGTATTGGATTAGAACATGTTCACCAATGTGTTAGAGAGTCAGGTAAGTGCAATAAAAGCAGTTTGTATTATAGAAAATATGTGGATATATTTTATGATATAGGAAGTATATATGTAATTCATTTAGTAAAATTTTGATTTTAAAGAATTTAGTTTAAAGTTAGTTATATTATATGTTAGTTTTTGGTTATGGTTAAAGTATAGCCAGATGGATCTTTAATCTATTTTGGAAATAAGTTGGTTCCATTCTTGGTTTCATTTTTGAGATGATCACATTGCCAAAATATAGGCTTTGCAAATATTTTTGATAAATGTTTTTGTAAGGTTTTCTATAAAGTATTGATCTCAGTATAGCATATGATATGGGTTGTAAATATTAGTATAATTGAAGTATAAATTAGAAGAGAGATTATGTTGCTTAGCAAGGAAGTCAGCAAGATTGTTCAAATTGTTGTCAATATGAACTTGAACTTTATGGAAGTTAATTTGAAGATTGTATAATTTAATGATATTTAATAAAGTATGCTATATAGGCTATGTATTGAATTAAAAAGTTTGTTAGGATTGGAAATTGTGTTATAGATGTTGGTATATTTAGTGATAATGGATTGGAAATCTGTAAAAATGTTAACTATTGCATTTTGGGATGTGTAGAAATAGCTGAGAGAATAGTTATCAGTTCTACCTTGTAGGATGATAGCCAGAAGTTGATTTTGGCAAAGAATTTGTGGATAATTTGATTATTGTTATTGACCTAAACCTAGCCAATGCCCATTGTACATTGGTCAGTTCTAATATTAATTACTGAGCCATCAGTATAAAAATTAAGTTGTTGTTGAGAGCTGTTGAGGATTGAATATTGTTCAAGTATGTTTGCTGTTTCACTAGTTTTGAATATTTCAAAGATATAAGAGTTGGAAATTGGAATTGTTGGTATTGGAGGAATTGATAGTGGATGTT